AGAAGGAGAGGATGAAAAATACATATCCAATCCAGTAGAGTCGAACACTGCTCCTGTGGTGAGGCCTCATTCTTCTGGAACTGGAGACAAAGTGGCTGATCTTGGCGTCTTTTGGAGCTTGAGGGAGCAAGGTCCTGTTGGAGTTGATATGTAGGAAGGGGCATTGTCTTGAGAGGGGGTGAAAGGCTTAAGGTGGGATAGATGAATCCAGTGAGGGAAGCCCTCAAGCTTAGTGGCTGTTGGGGTCGCAAGAATCACCTTGAAAGTGCCCTGCCATTTAGGAGAAAGATTGGGGAACTTTGGTTTGGAGGGGAGAGAAGGACCTGGTCCCCAATGTTAATAGGAGATGGACAGGGGTTAGTGTATGGCCGTGGTAAACAGTGGTCAGTAAAGATCCATAGAAGGGATCAGAGATGACAGAGTAAGGGAGTAAGCAGGTGGTCAGGGAGAGGAGAGGATTTAGCTGAAAGACCAGGAGTTAGGACCGGTCTCCCATACATGAGCTCAAAAGGTGAAATAGACAGAAGTTTTTTGGGGAGAGCTCACAGCCTGAAAAGAGCCAGGGGGAGGAGTTTTACCCAATCGAGGTGGAGCTCTTGTGATAGTTTAACAAGAGTGTTTTTTAGGAATCGATTAGTTCGTTCTTTCCTGAGGACTGGGGATGGTATGGAATATGAAAATACCAAGGGCATGTTAAGGGCTTTAGATAAGGTCTGGGAAATCTGAGAAGTGAACTCAAGGCCATTATCTGACTGAAGAAAAGTAGGAATTCCAAAACATGGGATAATCTCATGAAGAAGGAGATCAGAAACTTTCTGAGCTCTTTTGTTAGTGGTGGGGAAAGCCTCCACCCATCCCGAGAATGTGTCCACCAAAACCAGGGGGTACCGGACACGTTTGACTGCTGGCATTACTAAAAAGGAATGAGTCAAGGGGACTCCCCTAAAAATATAATTAAGAGGTGGAGTCCAGCAGGGCTGGCAAGGCTGTCCCCTTATTCCGACAATAGTGGAACTACAAGGAAAGATTGGTCCTCAGTACTCCGTTAGGACTGAGTAAGTGGCCCCAGTGTCCACAAGGAAGGAGATGGCTCACCCTGATACCGTGATAATTACCCGTGGCTCCTTGTTCGTGATGACAGTTGTCAGGTCAAGGGAATGCGGGCACCTTTAGTCGTCTGTAGCCAGGCCTAGGATATCGGCCGGAGGGAGATCTGGGGGTGATGCCTCCATATCATGAGAGAAATGGGTGGCAGTCAACACCCCAATATCCCTCTTGGTGGCATTTTGGACATGGTCCCGGTGGCTTTCAGGGGTTAAGGCAAACCCTGGCCCATTGACCTTTTTGACCACATTTGAAACAGGGACCCAATGGTCCTCGTGCCTTAGAGTGCAAGGGAGCCTGGGTAGTGACCGAGGCCGGTCAGATGACCTGGGCCAGCATTTGGTATTTTTGTCTGCGGGCTTTTTCATCTCTCTCGCAGAACACCTTAAAAGACAGCGCTAAGACTTCTGCCTGTGGATTCAGAGGTCCCCTCTCCAAGGATTTAAGCTTAGCCCTGATGTCGGGGTAACTTTGGGGGAAAAATAGGTCTCCTCCTGATGAGGAGTTGTCTGCCTTCTATACTTTCGGGGTCTAGATTAGTGTGTTGTAAGAGAGCCTGTGTAAGGCGCTCTAGGAATTGAGATGGGTTTTCATTTTTGTCCTGAATTTTTGTCCTCCGGGAGCTTTTCATAGTTAACTGGCTTAAGGATAGCACTGCGGAGACCAGCCAGAAGGCAGGTTGTAAACTGATCCCTAGCTAGAATGCCTTCCGGGGTATTATAATTCCAATTTGGGTCCTGTTCGGGTACCACCCCAGCTCCGACAGGGTGTGAAGCATTTTTTTGGTGAATTTCATCTACATGTCTTCTAGCCTGTTCCCAAACTCACCTGCGTTCTTCGGGTAATAGGTTATTGGTAAGGATCATATAAATATCATGTAAAGTGAGACTATAAGATTAAGTGAGATATTGAAATTCTTTAATGAAGGTAGAAGGATTAGAGGTATAGGATCCTAGTCTCTTTTCTACTTGAGAAAGTTCACTTAATGAGAAGGGAACATGCACTGTAATTAAGCCGTCTATACCTACTACTTCCCTCAAGGGAAGGATAGAGACTGGCTTAGGTTCAGTAGAGGTATCAGACTTTGCTACAGAGTGGGAATGGGCTGTGGGTGGGGTGAAAGTGGGTGCCAGTGTGAGGCGAGTAGGATGGTCTGTTAATGGAGGAAGGAGCGAGGGTTTTGGAGAAACCGAAGGAGAGGGAGTAGGAGGGGAGGGGGAAGGGCCTGGAGGTTGTGACAATTTTTGAGGAGCAGGAGGGGAGAGGCTGGAGCAGACTCCGGAGGTTGTGAAGATTCTGTAAAGGTTGGAGGCTGAGGGTGGCGGGGTGGAGGAGCTTCATCCGCTGGGTCAAAGGTAGAGAACTCCTCAGATTGAGGTTTTATCATTAGGAGGAGTTGAGTGGGAGAACAGGAGTAGCAGAGAGGAGCAGAGAGGAGGTTTAGAGCGAAGAAGAAAGAAAGCTTCAATATAGGGAACCTCCTTCCATTTACCAGATTGCTGAGAATGGTTAAGAAGATCCCGTAAAATAGTGGGATTTAACGTACCATTAATCGGCCAATTTGGACCCTTACCTAAAGAGTATGTAGGCCAAGTATTATTACAGAGGCGTATGAGTTTGGAAGTTTTTAACTGCTGTTGTAAACGCAAAGTCTTAAAATTTCTTGGAAGACATCCCAGTGGAGAAGCAGAGGGAACAGACAGCATAGTCTGGGTGTTCCCATTGGGAGGCAGGAGAGATGTGGCCTTCTAATGGCGTCCCAGAAAAAGGCGAGACTCTAACAAGAGGGGTCCTTCTGATCCAATATCTCTTCAGATTTTGGCCAGGGACTGGGGCACAGATGCCGAGAAAACAGTGTTCTGCCTAGCTAGGGCTTCCCGCAAGAGCAGGTAGAAAGAGAAACCGCGTGTAGCTGAGAAAGCTCTCCCAGGGGAAACTGAGGCCCTAATAAATATGGGGTCTAGCAATAGGAATCAACCGTGGCCAGTAAAGGCCGTGGTTGGGGATTCCCCCACTTCAAAGAGCAGTGGGGAGGTGCCGGACTCTCAACGGTCACTCCCCTTGCCCAGAGAAACATTTATGCTGACCAAAAGGGAAACTCACCAATCCTTCCGGTGTTGGATGCCTGGGTAGCAATCTGGTAGCCGGAAAGTGGAGATCTCGGGTGGATTTGGAGAAAAATACATCTCCAGAAACCCCAGCAGGGTGCCGGCACTCCCAGCACGGTGTGCCCACTGGAGGTGGGCAAAATGCACCAATGTTAGGAAACATGAGCCTGTGAAGATTACACGGTGGGTTCACGAATCACACCACGAGATCGGTTCCACGTGGGAGGTTTATTAGGGGAAGGGAGAAGGGGGTCACAGAGAGATGAGGTGGAAGAGGGAGAGAGAGAGGGAGGGCTTCAGGAGTTCTCTTATAGGGTGACCCAGGGCATTCGCAGGTAGTTCCAGGTGATCAGCGGGTGGTCTGGGTGTCTTCACAAATGCCTGATAACCGGGGCTGGCTGTAGAGGTGCCTGCTTACTGATCCCAACACTTTATATTATTTGTCTATATTGTGACGGGTGTAGTTTCCCTAATTTTTTTCTCAGCCTGTTTGTCATTTGTATATAGGAGGGCTACTGTTTTTTTTTTTTTTTTTTTTTTTTTTTTAATTAATCTTCTTTCCAGCCACTTTGCTGAAGCTGTTTATCAGCTCTAGGACTTCTCTGGTAGAATTTTAGGAGTTGCTTATGTATACTATCATATTATCTGCAAATTGCAATACTTTGATTTCTTCCTTCTCAATTTATATACCCTTGATCTCCTTCAGTTTTCTTATAACTTTACCATTTTCTAGTTTTGCAAATATTGTTGGTTCTCTCATTTCTTTCTTCTCCTGCTCATCAGAACTTCCATCCCTGAATTGTCAGTGTTCCAGTTCTCCTAGTCTGTCATCCAATGAAATGCAATTTTTGAATATAAAATTGAACATGTTACAAGCTCTTTAAAGCTACACTATCTTGTTTCCTTAGTATAGAAGTTGGAGCCCTCTTCACATTTTCAATTTCAAACCTGCCATATAAATTACTTTCAATCTAGTTTTCCCTTATTAAATATTTACAGTTAACACAATTCTATCTAGTCTTCTAGGTCTAGCACTAGTATGCATTTTACTGGACCTTCCTACCTAGTTACATATGAACTATGGCTGCCTCCTGTCTATTTTCAGTGCACTCAGCATAGCCTTTTTTCGCTTTCTTTTATTTAACATTAGCATTTATTTCATGCATGCCTTTCTGCAACATTTGAGTGGGAATTCCTTGAGGATTAGAGTCAGAGATTTGAATAAACTTTAATAAATATTTGTTACATGAATGAATGAATGAGTTAATGAGTTAATTATTTTACTCTGCTGTGGACTTTAATCAGCATTTAAAAGTTCTTTTACATTTGGGAATCACTTTATTTCCATGTAGTACAATGAAGCTTCTTAAGTTTACCAGAGGCCTGGGGAAAGAAAAATATAATAAATGAGGAAGTATTTTCACATAATCTTGTGAGCATTAACTTAAAACTTTAGAAGACAAATTTTACACTCCAGAAAACATTATGAATGAAAATATTGAGAAAAATGTCATTTTTAAATAATAGCTATGAGTGAAAATACCTTTTATTTATCCCAGAGGACAATAAAGTGATAATCCTTATTTTAATCCTCTTTTCCTCCTCTGCTCTTGCTAGTGTTTGCCATAGGCAAAAATAAATAAATAATAGTCTTTTATCCAGACTTCTAGTATCTTCCAAAAATCGAAAATAAATATGTTTTCATTTTAACTGCCCTTTCTTTTCATAGTTCTCTTAACATCAGTTAAAATTTAAAATACTTTCTAGTATAGTTAAAAACATTGCCAGATCCTCTTGCGGTTCAGAAGCATAATCATTAGTTTTTACATATCAATGGATATGTACCTGCTCAAACTATATTATGACTCTGGCAAATTACCCATCTGAAATTTAAAATATGTATATGTATATGTATATATATATACTTAATAAATATATCATATATAATTATATTTGTATATAATTATATAATATAATCTATATAAAGATATATAGATACAGATAAATATATATATATACTATCGACTGTAGATAAAACTTATTTGACAATTTAAAAAACTGTAAAATTTCATCTAAAACTTAAACCATAGGCTTTCTTTAGAGTATGCCAATCACAGCTTAGTTTTTAAAGCATGTTGTAGAATCATGTACTTTTAATTCTGGTCCAAGGGCTAACGTTGTCCAAGAAGACTTTAATGTCATTACTACCTATAGAGGGAAAATAGCCTTTGACAACATCAAGCATGGCTTTTTATGTTAAGTTAGTTAATGGATTTATTCTTTGACAGTTTCATAAAGATATATAGTGAACTTTAATGATTTCCTCCATTATCCTCTTATTCTCTTGCCCCATTTTGCCTAACTATCTCTTTCCAGGAAATTCCCCTCCCACTTTCATATCATTTTTGTCTATGCATATAAGATTAACTGAGTTAAATTATAATTACTTGTATGAACATAGTCGACAGGTTATTTACTGGAAAATTGGCAACTCCTCAGTGGGTACACCATGAAGAACTTGTTATCTTCTCCATGGAAGAATTTCCTCTCCAGGACGCTTTGGAAAAGTATGTACTCAGTCCTAATGTGACTTGATGTGCTGTGGTGGGTTGGTAAAGTGATTCACCTTTCATGAGGGGTAGGGGTAGGAGGGAAGGGAGACCAGCAAGAAGAGAGAGGGAAGGAGGAAGGAATGGAAGGAGAGAAGGGAAGATGCTAAGGCTGTGATGTAAAGTGAATAAATGTATATACATAAAAAAAAGAAAGAAAGAAAGAAAGAAAGAAAGAAAGAAAGAAAGAAAGAAAGAAAGAAAGAAAGAAAGAAGAAAATCTGGCCTGGAGCAGAAAAGTGGCTTAGCAGATAAAAGCACTTTGCAGAAAGCCTCTTGTGGTGGTACAGATGAGAAATGCCTCTTATAAAGTCTCAGGCATTTGAATAGCTGGGCCCCAGTTGGTGGCCTTGCTGGAGGAAGTGTGTCACTGGGGGAAAACTTGGAGGTCTTAAAGCCTCTAGCCATTCTGTTTGTTCTCTCTGCTTCCCAATTGTGCTTCAATATGTGCACTCTCAGCTCACTGTTCCAGCTATACCTACTGGCCCTGACTTACAATAATGAACTCTACATCTGGAACCATAAGCTCAAATAAACTCTTCCATAAGTTAAAAAAAAAAATGAAGAGCTTGTTATTTTCAAGGGTGACTATAATTGTTTTTAATTTTAAATAAAATTTAAATATATGAATATTTTGTCTGCATCTACATCTGTAACAATGGAAACCAAAAAAGGGCATTGGATCCCCTGAAAATGGAGTTACAATTGGGTTGTGAGTCACCATGTAGATGCTAAAAATTGTACTGAGGTCTTCCAGAAGAAAAGCCTCTACTCTAATGCTGAGCCTCCACAATTACTTGTTTAACTTGCCAGTCCTTGGGATAACTAAAGGTATAAAAATTTCTTTATTTATCTATAAAAAGAAATAAGCCTGAAACTCAATTCATTTTTTAAAGTTTGTAAAATTTATATCTAATATTACTAGGTTTGATTGTGTCTAGTAATCATTAACAGAGTTCAATAATATTAGCGTTATTAGAATAAATTAACATGGTTCTGAAAAAAAGATAATGATACAAATGTTCAAGTCATGAAGCGGCTCTATCATTTTATTTATTTATTTTTATTATCAAAACTTCAGTTTTATTTACAAATTCAACTTTCATAGCAACCAACTGATCTGTTTTTGTTTGTTTTGGTTCTTTTTTTTTTTGGAGGGGTCTCCTTTATTGGGTTCTTATATTTACCACCCTTCTAACCCCTGTTCTACCCTAATTCCTGCCAAACCCCAAACACTAGGTAGGAGAAAAAAAAAGTTAGAGGAAAAGTAAGGATTTTTTGCTATAATTTTTATTTTTTTATATGAATCACAGGTCATTCACTTTGTATCCCAGTTGTAGTCCCCTCCCTCATTCCCTCCCAATCCCACCCTCCCTCCCTCATCTCCTCCCTGCCCCTTTCCAAGTCCACTGATAGGGGAGGTCCTCTTCCCCTTCTATCTGAACCTAGCTTATCAGGTATCTTCAGGACTGGCTGTAATGTTCTCTTCTGTGGCCTAGCAAGGCTGCTCCTTCCTTGGGTGGCGGGGGAGGTCAAAGAGCCAGCCATTGAGTTACTGTCAGAAATAGTCCCCGTTCCCCTTACTAGGTACCCACTTGGATTCATATGAAAGAAAGTAGGGAATTGACCTCTTTAGACTACTTCCTGCTGAATAGGGGTTTCAGGTTCCTAACAGGTCCAATCTTCCTTGTCAGAATATCCAGCAACCCTGCAAAACAGCAAACCAGCAATAGCAAATGCATCAGCAGGAAGCAGCAATAGTAAGGACAAATTATGGACAAGCAGGATATTGGGAAATTCCCCAACTTTGCAGAGACAAGGTAGGCCAGTCCTTCAAATTTCCTGCTTCACAGATAAGTCTGTCAGATATTCTGGGCCTCTAAGCCAAATGTGGTTCTCTATTGTGATTCGGCATCTTTTAACTGTTACAGGACAAGGCTTTTTGAATCTGACCAGTCCTCAAACTGAATGAAAGATTTGGTTCTTAAATCCCCTACCTCTTTTACTCTTGAGGGAACAAAGCAGTCAGCCCACTCTCAGAGTACTCCTCTCCCATAGACTTAGTACTTTTGCACTGGTTAGGATTATTTGGATTTTAATTAGGCTAATGAAAAGTAGACAATGTCCTGAGCACTTCTATTTTGAAATATGAACATAAGCCCTACATGTTGAGCCAAAGATAGAGTCTAGACTTTTTGGTCTCATCACTGTTTTCATGTACCTTCAACAGCTGATGTGTTTTTAGCTCCAAAGGACCAAATGCACCAACAAAAACAATGTTTTAGGTACAACTCATTTGTTTGCATTCAGAGTAAGGCCTTCAGTTAATGGGTCAGATATAAAGGAAAGACTGATATGTAGTCTAGGGACTCTCAGTATAGAATGCCCTGGACTTCAAAGGCAGCTATGATGTTTGACAATGAACTCCCTCCTCCTATGGGCCTGACAAATGTTTGATCAAAATCTTTACATGTGTGTTTGGGGAGTTTTTCTTCTACAAGGTTGTCATGATGTGACCTTTCTAATTTACTATTTAAGGAGCTTTGCCATGAATAACTATGAAAGCTTATCTAGGTGCCATTTAACAGAAATTCTCAAAGGCTTTTTGAAACACTTTCATTTAGAATTATGCAATAGAATGTAATCAAAATATCCTAATCCTGTGAATCAAGACTTCATCATTTCCACCCTTGCTCTAAATTACTGTATCAACTTTTCTAAGTTCCCTTCTCTTTTAAAAATTTCTCTTTCTTTATAATATTAATGTAAAAAATATTACTCCTTTTTTTAGGTAAGTATGTGTGAGTGAAATCTGGCTTCACTTGAAGTTGTTTTTAGGGAGCAGTGAGCAGGGATAGTGGGGGAAACATTTAAGTCCACAAATGTCTCCTTTAGAAATACATTCAAGCCATACCAAGTCATTTTTCTCTACCCTAAAGAAACACAATTGCTCTTCTCACACCTCAAAAGCACCTAGTTACTGTCATTAACAATATACAGTGGAGATAACTACAGGGTATGCACCAAAAAAACATGATTTATCAATGGAGGCCTTGATTGTCTTTATGTATTACACACTCTGAATTCCATAAAAAGTTGTATAACATACAAATGTAAATTGCCCAAAGGCCAAAGCACCAACAATTCCATTTACTGCAAGATCTCATAGGAGGGAACAATATAATAAGGCACAGGTAGTCACATAGATAAGGGTTGCATAATAGACTATTTAGTGGAACTATGAGAAATCACTTTTCCTTAAGCAAGAATATGTGTCAAATCAGTTGAATCCCTGGTGTCATGGACCCAGGAGGAATTATTTAACTTTGAAGTATTAGGGCAGGGTGGAAAAAGGAAACAAACAGAAACCCCTGAAAAATGATTCACAGAGGTAGCACACATCTGTAATTGCAGCCTTTGGAAGACAGAATCAGGAAGATTCTCATGAGCTCAATGCTAGCCTGGGTTACAGGATGAGTTTTCGTCTTATAAAATTATTTTTCATAACTTGGTTAACTACCAAAGCAGTGGGACATTAAGCTAAGTGTAGGAAACATGTAAACCTGAGCCCTTGTAAGTGATTGTATAAATTGCATGATAAGGAAGTCAGTATTAAACCGTCTCAGTTCCAGATGGCCTTTGTAAATAAAAGAGAAGGCTGAAATTCTTTTCCTGGTGGCCTTAGATTGCCACTGTTATAGCTAAAGCCCATTTTACCTTATGTCTTTTCCTTAGAGTCTGAATATTATCATGCTAAGAATCTGCTGATGATAAGTCATGGATGTGTTACTAAATACAGCTCTCTAAAAGATCAATCTGTATGCTCCGTTAATAGACATCCCAGCCAGTGGTTGAATATGTAAACAGGATCTCTCACCTTCATCTTCTCTCTATAAGCTAATTGCAAAAACTCACTCACTTAGTTCTATATGGCCACAAACAGTTCCTGGACACCAGCACCCAGTATGCAAATGTTCAGCTCACTATTTTCTTCATGATGAATCAGTGAATCATCTGTTAACACAATAAGACTCAGTAGTTGATTAGACAAGAGTTGAAACTCAATCAGCACTGGCTTCAAGTGACACATTTGCCATAATATTTTATAAGAAATACTTTGTTTTTTTTTTTTAGCATTAACTTACTGATCCATATAACATTCTTTAAGGTAAAGATGGTCATTGTAACCTGTTTCAGTTGAACAAAATTGGATCCAGAGAAGTTAAGTAATTTGTCCAAGGACACAGAACCACTGAGTGACAGAGCTAAGTTTTAACTTT